ACGTCATAAACTGGACTCGATGCCATTTTTGAACAGATCTTAATGACTATGAACACAAAGTTTATTAGTGTTGAGCAAATCAGGTTATTAGGCCGTCCGTATATCTATCGAATATTCTGCCGCTTATTTTCATTGCTTTTATTTGTTTAATTAGCCCACTTGTGTAGAATATTATCTGTAAACTCTTCATGCTTTTTCTATTACTCATGACCTGTTTTCTCGTCTTACAATCTACCAAACACAGTATCTAGCTTCCATGCTTCATCTGTAGTTTTTTGATAACAGTTTTGTACTAATGATAGTTACTGGACTGATTTTTACCTGCTGAATAAACATAATCTTTCTTGTTCCTGTGTTAACGACAAGGGTTTATAGACTACTTATTGCTGTTTTCCCGTCTTCCTTCTCACTGCCGCGATTGTAACACGCAAAGATAGAGCTTCTACTCAAACGTGAACCATGTATGCGTGTAACAGGTTTTTCACGTCGCAAACTGCTGACCCAAAATGAAAGCGGATAAAGCGATCCTTTATATTCACTATACAGAATAGGACTAACGTGATAGCGACTCACTTTATCAGTCAATGGTACCAAACAGCAACATATACAAACTACTATTGCTCATCTCCCTTTCGCTCATGAATCTCAAATACAAACAGTCAGCATGCGTTTGTCATGGTCACAATTCGTATGGCATTTCATTTTGTACATTTTACAAGGATTTTAGGCTAGTTATGCTCTGCTACCACACAAACTTGTTTCGTTTCTGCCTGAATAAACCGTGGTACAGTCCTACTGATTTTACTTTCTCGGTAACTCTACTTGAGTAGCATCTCATTTTTAAACACGTCTTAAATTATTTAGCAGACCTGAAAATGTGGTTCTAACCCGCAATGTCGGAAAGAGATAATCTTTAAGCGACCATAAGTGGAATATGAAAATGAAGAGTATTGATAAACAGAACACACAATTATTGAGGGAGTCACGTAAGTAACACAGTATATGAGGCGAAACGGAGATCTATTATCTCATGGAAAGTATTCATACAAAGACTTACGCATACCCATACGCACCCATCTACATGCACAGGGATCTTACACATATACAAAATAAGAGGAAGAAAGGATAAAAAATTTTCCTAATCAAACCTAAAAACTCCATTCAAATCCAAAACAACAGTATTGACTTGTATTACAAAGAAAAAGAACAAAGTGAGAATTAATGTCACCTCAGGATCTGAAAGTAGGTAATTTCCGGCGCCGCTAAAGTGTCGAGCGTGTACTTTCTAAACTGGCCGAATAAGATGCTTAGACAATTTTGACATAAGGACAACAGAAAAGCATGGTACGTTATTAAACAGGTTACACATGACCCAGATATAGGAAAAATATTGAAACTTAGTAATCTGGTTGTGACGAAGTAAGCCCTACAATACTAAAAAAGCTCGCGGAATTCCCCATGCACTGATTAAGCAACCTGTCTCAACACACATTCGATTATAAGTGGCTGCCAGGTTAGAACTCAAATGTCTAACTTTCTCTTTGTTAACGAACTACCTATATGACCGAGAACTCCGCACCAAAGTAAACTGAGTACACATTTTTGGTTACTCAGTGAATAGTACTGGACTCCTTGTGATATCTCATATTCATGAACGACCTACTAGCCGTCTCTAATTCGTCAACCATTATCTGTGCAGGCGAAATTAAGCTGAATAACTACCAGTTATGAAGGCAATTCACCAAAACTCTGAAGATACCTGTTGCTGTAGGAATAAACAAAAAACATGGTTCAGTATTCGGTCTCCGGACGTGTAAAGCGACGTTATTTTGAGCCAGCGAGGGGCAAAATAGTGACCACTTGCTCTACAATAACTTCCCATATTGCACCTCAATGGACGGTGAACTAGGTCTGTTACCTAGATGTTACCGACAACTACTGAATAGTCCAGTCAAAGTATATGTTACTTCTCACTTTATCCAAAGGCGAATGGGTACGCTGTATCCTGAGTTTTTTCAGGCACTATCCTAGACCTATACATTCCTATATCTCGGAACTTACAAATTTCTTGCAATCTACCCCCTAAAAGGTTCATAAATCTCGTAGAGCATGCACAAAAGCGTTTACTGTATGAATACGGTACAAACCCTATGAAGACCGTTTTCATCAATCGATATTGTAATTGCTAGGTAACAGAATATTACAAGACGACTCGATAGTGATGTTTTTTAGACTGATGCCTAATTCGGTATTAATTACATTTATTTTTGATGCTAGAATAATAGGCCTAATCCGAAAATCGCGAAGTCCCCATGATAAGACTACCTAATTTATAATATCTAACATGCGAGTTACTTGATTTTCTATAGTGACTCGTCCTACGTCATAGCCATATGTATTACGTTTAACATTTTTGATCAACATATATGAACTGGGGGTAGAATAATATATTTAATATGACAAGGAAGAAGCAACGTACAGTTATCATACCTGCATGGCCAAGCCATGACATAACAATTAGATGTTTTCGCGCTCACCAATTCTTCAATGTAAACACTGAGTATACATCTCATCAGTTGTCGTACGTTCAGCCTCAAGGATCATGTGATTAAGGACCAGAAACAATGCATTACTCTCCCATTAGAATCAACATGATGTCAGTTCGATATGAAAGTAAGTAGGATTATCCTTCGCTTGTTACGAAGGGAAGAAGGATTCTTCAGGTATTGAGAAAATGAAAGGTGCATGGAAAAGAAGCCAGCATCAGCTGATCGGAAATGATGATTTCAAAATTTTTGGCCTCATTCTCAATAGCACTGCATGTTCGCCGTACTAAGTACTTTATGTCGGTCCAGTAACAAAATTCTACCAAAAACTCAACAGTGTATTTCATAAGACAACTTATAACGAATTGCACATGAAAGTAATGTCCAGAAAGTTGTGGACCATGTCTTGAAACCTATCACTACAAATACTAAAGATGCCATAGATATTTGGAGTTTGACAATGGCTTTACATGTAACATGTTTATAATCCTACTAGGCCAACCCAGTCAAATCAGATATCAGAATGAGAAGGTTCGAAGACATATTTGAAAGGCTATCGATGTATCGAGAAGCGTTTATTGTAAGCTGGCTAACTGTCATAAGAGATGCGGCGCACCCACTCATGATCTGGTGCGGACGCGTCACTAAGCACCTTCAGCTAGATGTTTCCATCAAAATTAATCAGGTCAGCATCAAGACTTATAGAACTATTTATTTTGGGTGTTTATTTACCTCTACAATATCATTTTTTTCCACTATTTCTGAAGCCATCTTGAGCTTATTTCTACTAAGTCTTTTCTTAAACACCCATATTTACTGGTTATTTTTAGACATTTGTTTATCTATATCGAGTACGTAGTCAATTTGTTTACTTCTTTAAACCACAGTCTAATTTCGCGATTTTCTTCTAATTCCTTTCATATATCCTCATAACTGGCGTTGCGAAAGCTCTTTTGATTAATCCTTGGATAAGATATACAGCAAACAACTTTAAAATCCACCATGATTAGTGCCACTGAGTGCCTAGACTACTCAGTCTTCAGTCTTCAGTAATAAGGATAGGATATCTATCGACCCATATCAATCCTTGCAGTTTTTAATGCTGTGGAGGTCCAATCTTGTTTTGAATATATCAACAGAAGGTACTGATATTACGTATCTCGGCAGAGAATTCCAGTAATTCACTACTCGGTGCGAAAAACGAAATTCCAGACGTAAACTATTTGATCTCGATTTTCGAACTTTCTTTGAATGTCCTCTCAAATGATCTGTCCTAGATGGAAGCAAAAGATAAGATATATTAATACCAAGGTCGTCGTTCAGTATACGATAAGCCAATATTTGATCACCCAGTATTCTACGGTAAGATAACGGAAATAAGTTAAGGTGTTTCAGTCTGTTTTTATAAGATAGGCCAGATAGACTTTGTACCATCTTAGTACCTCGTCGTTGGACTCTTTCTATCATCTCTGCCTCATACTTGAAACAAGGACTCGCTGCTTGAATCCCATATTTTAAATGTGGTCGCAAATAAATCGGGTATGATGATCCAAACATTCCACCATCTAAATATTGGAAAGACCTACGAATAGATCATAATGCCCTTCAACCTTTCGCAGCAGCAGCCTTACAGTGACTAGTGGTTTTGAGATCACTGCTAAATATGACTCCTAAATCTTTATAGTTTCTTACTTTGGGTCACCTTGGAGCGTATCCACGGCGAGCCACGAAATCAGTTCGAGGACTCAAATCTAAGCCTTACGAAGAACGCCTTCCTTCACTAGACCTTTACCCACTAGAATATAGGCGTCTTAGAGGTGATTTATTAATGGCTTATAGTATTCTTAACACTTCTGGACATCCTCTTAAACACCTACTTAAGCTTAGTTTGAATAATAACCTAAGGGGTAACACCCAGAAACTGGAAACACAACATAGCAAGACGGAATGTAGACACAACTTCTACTCCTTAAGAGTTGTCAAAAGCTGGAACTCGCTGCCGGCCGAGCTAGTCCAGGCGACTTCGCAGAGTCCTTAAAGAGGCAACTTGACCTATTCTTAAGGACCAAGGACAGCATCACACTATGATTTACCAATTTCTTTTCCTCTTTTATTGTTAACATACCTAGGTTCCTGCCTGGAGGATTTGGTGATCCCCTGCTACTAGACACGGAAGCCTGTTAAGCGAAAGCTTCTTCTATTCCGTCCACAACCATTTGAACCATTTGAGCACGAATCCACCTATTGTGTAGTGGTGTAGTGTAGAACTGACAATATTAGAGACCTATAGCCTTACACTAACATCAAAGAGAAAGAGTAAATAAATGATTTGGTTTGCATTAGTTTTCTAGGGAGATATTGAATGCTGCATATTGTACAGGTGTTCTCGACATGCGCCAAAATCAAATGAGACGTTGACGTTATTTTCAAATTATGACGATTAGGCTGTAAAACATGGTTAGTAGGAGGCGTCTAACTGTATCTGGCGATCACAAGCCCGAAGTAAGATATGCTGACCTTCAACAAACTTCTCAGGAACAGTCATGTTGGTCCAAACCCACTGTTTATCATGCTGCCATCGTGATATTCCTAGAGTTCTTTGCCTTCGGATTGCTAACCACCCCAATGATCTCGGTATATTCGAGTTATGTTACCATTTATACGTTTCAGGTTTTAGATGAGACATTTCCCAAACATACCTTTCTAATGAATGGTATCATTCACGGAGTAAAGGGAATATTATCCTTCCTTAGTGCACCATTTCTGGGTGCTCTTTCAGATATGTTTGGACGAAAGCCTTTCCTACTTCTAACAGTAACCTTCTCTTGTTCCCCAATACCACTGATGAAAATCAGTCATTGGTGGTATTTTACAATGATCAGTATATCAGGTATTTTCGCAGTGACATTTTCATTTGCTTTGGCATATGTCGCTGATATCACATCAGAAGAAGATAGAAGCTGGGGATATGGACTAGTAAGTTCGGATATGAAAATATGACTGGTAACTTTTCCACACTGAAGTCAATTGTCCAAAAATTAGGTTTTCTGTTCCTTCACAAATACCACACCAATTTTAAGGTTTTTTTGGTGAAACTCTAATTTATGGACGACCTTTGAACGAATTTTTAAGTGACCTTGAGTACATTAGCCAATCAGAAGAGAGTTAGTATAAAGTAAAAATATATTATAAAAGAGTGATGTATTACAATGGATATTCTTCTTTTACATTATTTGAGAACTTGTTGAGGTTTGATATAGGTTCAGAAGTCTCGAAATCATAGTGCATGCGGTATAAGAACTCGTCCATATGACTATAATAATCGTCCTCTGAAGCCGTGGTAGGGTTTTAAAGAATACTTCAGCCTAGACCACATGCCCTCAATGTTGTTTGTATGGACCTCCCGTCGTTAGATCAAAGAAATGACGTTTATACACCACTACATGATGCACAAAACCAAGTCTGGAGAGGCATCTATACGCTTTCCTAACATCGGTATAGCCGCAGCTAATGTTACTGGAGACTTTATGATCCAATTTGCAACGATTATCATGGTTTGTCTTAGCCTTAGCCGTGACCGGGTAAAAAAAGTGCCAGTTCGAGCAGATTTTTTTCTACAACATATAGTACAACGAAATACAATGTCATCGCGGCAGTCTGCACATCGTGCTGCGGTCATTTAATTGCCGCAGTCACAGAAACAGGAACTTCCTAATATTCCCATCTGCTATAGTCTCTCAACGATCACCTATTCTCTAAAATCTGCTGTAAAACGATCGAATGTGAGCATCCCGCACTGAACTTAGCGCCATGACCTTGAAATTCCTTAAACGCTTCTGATTGGCTCGTCCATAAATTAGAGTCCTACCGTTTTTAAGTCTGTGAAACTTCATTTCTTGACGAAACAGGTAATGGACTGAAAGTTTCGATAGTTAGTTGTGTTTTGACTAAGGTTTTTGGTAGCTAACACTTTTGCCTTGCTCTTTGGTTTATGTTTTTTTCTCAATCAGTAGCGTTACTTGACATGTTCGATGTTAGCCTTAATTGCCCAACTGAAATATGGGTCAATAAGATATAAAAGACAGATTTCCCATGCTCTTATAATTGATCGCCTAAAGTATAGCATTCCAGTGTACTACCTTCGTGCGTTTATTATTAGTATTTAGTTTATACACTAACCAGTAATGCGAACACTGCAAATAACTTACTGTAGTCTGTGGTGAATTATTTCGTGTATTAGTTTATTGTTTCAAACCATCTTTGCGACTGACATTCCGGTTTATATTGGTGTCAATTTCTGCGATTGCTGTGCCAACTATGCTGAAAGAATAAAGCCAATCAGCCTTCTATTTGCTTACATTTTGTGTGGCACTGGTTGTCTGTTTGCAGCTTCACTATTTATTTCACGTAATCGATCACTTAAATTTAAACTTATTATTAGTATTTTCTGTATTCGACCTCAACGAGTTGGACGTCAATCATTAATCGATTTTCAGTACTGCAGGATGTTGCCCAAATGTCTTAATAAAACAGAGTTCAATCAATCTTTTTGCCCATTCAAAAACTTTTCGAAGGAGTTCCTATTTACTTCCTTAATGTCGCGCGGTAAGGGGGCATCCTGTGTATAAATTGAGTTGTCAGATTCAAAGTTTTTATCTAGCATAATTGACAAACCTTAATTCAAAACGAGTCGTTCAGGTGGATTCCATAATTTAAGAGATCATGTGACCCTGGGAGCGTAACTTAGTTGCTGGAGTCTATACATATCCATCTGATGTTACTTCAATGTCTCGTACATTGGATTTGTGAATCAAGAGCCCTATCATTTTGTTCTCGAAGACCCATCGTGTGATTGGAATGTCTAGGCGGCTCAACAGTTTAATGTTCTTTATGGGTTTGTATGGCAACCTTATGGCAGTATAATCCAGTCTCACCCATCTGGATAACCAAGCGCTAGGGGTCGAGTGATACTAATCCGTCAACAGTTGATTTTATTTTACTAGAACTCCAAAACAGCTGGTATTATGAACGGTGTTTTGTCACTTAGCATACCTACGTTGCCAACGATTGAAGTTCGAGGTTGAGGTTTGTCGGCGACTCGACGATGTCAAACATTTTCCTTCAATAGGAGTCAGCGTTAGTTATATAAACTGAAATGTCTAGTTCGAGCTTTAAGGCACTCTTTAGAATGCCTTGTCTCACCTATTCTCAAACACAAAATGACGTTTTCATCAAAAAATTAACTGGATTGTCTACAGGAAGTGTGACAGTAATATTTCATTACTCCAAAGTCAGTCAGTCAGCTGCAACATAGGACCCCTCAAATACCCTGATACGGCCGAGAGTGGGGAAAGCCCGCCCTCTCTCTCTAAATCCTCTCACATGGCCACGCGTGTATAGCCTCTGCCAGGGAAGTCCTGTTTATTGCCTTCTCGCACTCCCGACCGTTGTTGCTACCTTGACGTGGTGGTCGGGCTTGCCTATCGTGATGAAGCAACCGAGCTATACTGGCTGGAACAACCGTTCCTCAAGGTCCTACCATGTCAGACAGGTCGGTTGAAGAGCGGTAAGACTAAAAGCAACAAACCCAAGGTCCGAAGGCGAAGTCGTACTGCTGACTGTACAGAGGTGTGACAGCAGTAAGGTGTTTCCTTCAGACAACCAGCATGACAGCGATGCCGCCTTCCCACAAGGAGGGGTGGGGCTAGAAAAGGTCGACCCTAAAAATGCACACCTCACCTTACCTCACGGATTTCTGTCTCCGGCGGTAAGGCCCTTTGAAGAACGGAGCTAACACGTCAAAAACCTCCCACGAAAAGGCCGTGCGCGACCGGCCTCAAGCAGTTGTCCCTTGGGCACTGCGGTCACGCTCTCAGGTCACTGAGACCACCTCTAATCCAATTTCCTTTTCAGGTACCTCCAGAACAACCCTTCCACGGTGTGGGCAACAGGGAAGTGATAACCGCCCTCATACCTCTAACAGCACCCAAGACCACTGTATTCATAATCAACCTTCCTCTTCAATTCCTATTATTCCTCCTACATCGACTTTCAACTCTAAACTTCCTCGTTCGGCTTCCTCCTCAAGTGTCACCATAGCCAACGATTCTAGTGCTCAAAACTCTGTCCCAGGTCTACTGAAACCTCGCTCCAAACTACACATTGGAGCTTTCAACGTACGAACCCTATGTCAAATCGGTCAGCAGGCTTCCTTGGCTAAAACCCTAGAGTCTCTTTCCATTGATGTATGCTGTGTCTCCGAAACACGCATACAGGATTCCAGTGTGGTCATTCACTTGACCTCACCTCGGCAAAACGGAGAGCCAACGAGGTACACCCTCCGTGTATCTGGTGACCCGATGGCCAGTTCTCGTGGACTGGCAGGTGTAGGCATAGCACTAAGCATGAGGGCGGAACAAGCACTGCTAGAGTGGATCCCCGTCAACAGTCGTCTATGTGCTGTTCGGCTAAACGGCTCCGTAAAACTCGGAAGGATAGGGGCACACGTCGTTGCCTTTTCTTCGTTTCTGCCTACGCTCCCACTGACTGCAGCTCAGATGATGTGAAAGATGAATTTTACAGAAAGCTGTCCGAACTTCTTCAGAAAGCTAAACGCTCAGACATAGTACTCGTAGCAGGTGACTTTAATGCTCAGATAGGTAGCTTAAACCAAACAGAAAGGCATTTAGGTGGATATTTTAGCATTCCGACACAGCGAACAGATAATGGTGACCGTCTGCTGCAACTGTGCTCAGACAATCGCTTATTTTTAGCAAACACAAATTTTAAGCATAAGGAGAGACATCGTCTAACGTGGCGACCGCCTGCACCAAACCAACGATGGACTCAAATAGACCATATTGCCATCAGTCATCGTTGGAGAGGGTCGGTAGAAGATTGTCGCTCATTCTGGAGTACCTGCTTGGACTCCGACCACGCCCTAATACGAGCACGCATCTGCTTGCGCCTCACTGGACGCAAAAAAGCCACAGTAAAAAGACCCATTAGAACCGAACTGAGTAGCGAGGAAACCAAAAGTAGGTTCCAGGAACAACTGAGGTCACGATTAGGTAGTTCTGAAAACGAGGTTGACCCAGTTGTTGCTTGGAAAGCCATACAAACAGCTGTGGAAACAGCAGTGACATCTATCAGTGATTTAAACCAAAGGGTTACAAAGAACCAATGGATTTCTTCAAAGTCTATCACACTGATGGATTCTCGCAAACTCGTCCCATCAGGTTCCGAACATGATGAAGAGCGACAACAAATCAGATCTAGGTTAAGAAAAAGTCTAAGAAACGACCGTGAGCAGTGGTGGGCAACGAAAGCAAAAGAGATGGAAAAGGCGGCGACTATAGGGAACACAAGACAGCTTTACAGACTAATAAAAGAAACTGGAATTAATAAGTCAAGTGTAAGTGAGATTATATCGGAAAAAGACGATACACTCATCTGCTCCCAGTCCAGGCGTTTAGAACGATGAGCGGAACATTTTAGGGAACAGTTCAGCTGGCCTTCAGCTACTCTACAACTACCCTCCATTCCCAGACAGTGTGAATGGAACATTGAAGTAGGTCCCCCGACTCTTGCTGAAGTTCAAAAGGCTATAGTTAATCTGAAACGAGGAAGGGCAGCTGGTCCAGATGGATTGGCTCCAGAGGTCTTTAAGGATGGTGGTCCAATTTTAGCGATTAGGTTGACTAATATTTTAGCTAGGATCTGGGAGTTAGACGTTATCCCATCTGACTGGTCACAATCACTTATCGTCCCAATATATAAGAAAGGGTCAAAATCATCCTGTGACAACCACAGAGGGATTAGTTTAACTAATATAATATCTAAAATACTAGCCTCGATAATTATCAGACGCCTAAGACTCGTGAACTGCAAACACGAGAGAACCAAGCTGGCTTTAGACCTGGTCGTGGCTGCATCGACCACATATTCACCATTCGTCAGATTCTAGAACACAGGCA